TCCTCAGTTACAGACTGCCTCAACACCAGAGCGTGGAAATGATGCACTTGCTGAAGGAAACACTTCAACCAACCACCTCACCTGCCCACGCTGGTGAGATTTGTTCCTTCTGGATACACACCCTTTACAGATGTGATCACTTGGAACTGGCAGCTACCTCTTAAATTAAGTTGTTAGAAGCTTCCCGGTATGCTATCTTGCATGTAACTGTAGCATGACTCAAATCAGTTCTGGAATTTAATTAACTGTGCACGGTGCATTGTATGAGCATGCTTCAGGGTCAACCATTATCATGCCAGAAATACACAGACAGACTAATAAATAATGCAAAGTATATTTTCTAAAATTAATATAGAGAGGACCCTCCATGTTAGCCCTCCACCAAGAAGTCCCACTTCTGGGCAATAATCACTGAGGACTGCATGCTCAACAGATTCCTCAGCTATCACATCTCACTGCATTAATCTCAGAGCAAGCAGGGATGTACTTAATACAGGTGATGCAGATTCCTCTCCAGTGGGACTAGGTTTCTTAGCCTAGATCACGACACCTTCACGGCACGAAGTTTATGGTGCCAATGGACAAAACTTTTCAGCAAGAGCCTCTTTTTTTCCTTTGGATTGCATCTGCTGACAGCGCTGTTGCTGCTGCTCATGTTCTGGCCCTCTTGATTCTTCTTTCTGTGCCACAGCCCGGGATGCTGCCTCTGGACCTCAAGACATGGAGATGAGGATGTACCAGAATATGCCAGACCCCGGCTTAGGGCTCTGCCTCTCCAGTCGCTTCTATAGTTCTTCCCTCCTGGGCAGGGAGTCTGGAAGACTATCCCAATGCCAGTCCTGCAGAACCGTTTCCTTAGACAGACGTGGTTATTCACCACCTTGGGTACGGGTGACGTCTCTCAACACAGCTATACCAATAATCAAGGTCCGTTTTGATCAGGCAGTAACTGCTCAGCAGACCTCACACTGCAAGGCACCTCGGCACACAGCCTATGCCTTTGTCATACCCTTTTCTTGTACATCTACGTCCCCATCGCGAAGACACTCTTATTCCTAGTCTGAATATTGCTGAGGGCAAGGGAAAAAGGCATGAAGGGTTTTTTCACCCCTCTTGCCTAGACAAAGCTATGTTTTCCTCAGGTGTATGCTGTCTGCACAACTTCAGGCTGTGAGCTTGGTGGCTTTGGCAAGCAGAGGAAAGATCTGTCAAGCTGGAGGCACGTAGGACTACAGAGAAAGTGTGTTATACACTGAGTGGGGAAAAGCCTGTAATGCTCCCCCACCTACTGAAGCATCAAGGACCCCACCAAGTCTCACCAGAGAGACAGTAGTTCTGCATTCTCCTAGAATATCTGACAGCTATAGATCCAAACCTGTCTTGCCAGACTGTCACAGCAAAGAAAAACTCAGTCAGAGAAGCTAAGTTATTTTGTTAAAAGATTTATTTTACAAAGCCTATGGTTTTGGACAGCTGCTTAGCAAAGCATGCAGTCCACACAGGTGTCTTCAGAAGATCAACTGCCCCAGGAAAGTTACCAGAAAAGAGGTATCTGCTTGGTTCCTTCCTAAAATGAGATCATATAACAAAGACCAACTTCCAAGCAGTTGCATATTGCTCTTGGGTATGATTTCCAAATTCAAAATAGAGCCTATATCTCAGCCGCTATTTTTTGTTGTTGTTGTTTTCCTCCTCAGTCTTGTTCAGAGGATTAAGTTAGTGCCAAGGAAAATGATGTTCTCTGTGCTTTGAGGCATTAAAGGATAGCAGCATTTCTGCCACCACAGGAATATGAACTTGCATGGAAAAGAAACACAACAGGCAACAAAACACCACGTTCTGGACTGTCTTTGAGTCACTGTAGTGGTGATTGTCAAGCCAACGCAGCCATCCCAGTCAAATTTAGGACCCATTCGTTTTGTTAGAGACTATTTAAAGTTTCAAGCAATGATCACGAAACCAAGAATTCCTTTGTGAGAGCTGCCTGATGTACTTTAGAAAGCAGGCCCCTGCTGTTGTCAGGCATGATGCTGTCACAACTGAGATGCTCTTCCATTTCATGTTCTATCTTCTTGTTTGGGTCTCACAGCAATCCTTCTGTGATGAGTTTTCTTGCTGAGAACAGGAAAGAGTCCTTCTTGGTATCAGCAAAGTAATCAATCAAGATCATTGTCATGCTGGCAGTAAGCCATCTTTTATCTCATGAAGGTCATTATCACTTGAAGATCCAAACGCTCACTCCACATGACCTCCTGAACACAGGGGAAGGATTTGTGCTGCTTGACCTCCAGGATACAACTCCGCCTATCTGTCATGCCACCTCAGGAGACGTGGGAGATCAAAACCACCAACAGGATAGGCTATTGTCTTCCAGTCGCACAAAGTAATTTGACAGTGACCACAATATTCCAAGTGGTAGCAGCACACTTGCGTAAAAGCAGTTATTTGTGTACTCGTACCAGGACAGCTAGCTAGCAGAGATTTTCTAGTGAAGCTCTGCTGTATGACAGATTATGCACGTTTAACCTGCTACAGAACTTGGTCTCTAAAAGATACGAACATACTGGAGTGAGTCCAGTGAAGGGCCACAGAGACAAGGTACTGGAGCACCTACCATACAAGGAGAGGTCAAGAGAGCTGGGACTGCTCAGTCTGAAGAAAAGGCTGATGCTCGATGTGCATAAGTACCTGATGGGAAGGTGTAAATCGGGGCCAGAACCTTAGTCGTATCCACTGAAAGGGATGCGCACAAAGTGGAAAAAAGTACATTCAATTTAAACATAACTTTAGTTTATTTGTTTTTAAACTGAGCATAAACAAACACCGGAACAGGTTGCCCAGAGAGGTTATAGAGTCTCCAGCCTTAGAGATAATCAAAACTTGACGGGACACAGTACAGAGCAACCTGCTCTAACTGACCTTGCTCTGAGTAGAGGTCCTTTCCAAGCTTAATGATAGTGTGAAGCAGTAAAATCCCTATGGAGGTGTATTTCTCTGGCACAGATTATCAGGTAAGATCCTCCTAATGGTGTGACAAACCTGAACCTGCTGAGAATCCACAAATCCCACAGCCAGACTCTGCTTTCAACTTCCCTCAGCAGAACATGTTCGCAGAGACACTAAGAATGAAAAGCTACCTGCTCTCACAAGAGCTGGAGTTTGATACATACTGTTCATACATATAATCCACTTCTCCTTTACTCCAGAATCCTGCACACCTGGTGTTTCATAGTTAGGAAGGAAAAGTGTGCTCTATTAGTATAAAAAAAGTGAGGACTCTGTAAGACACAGATACACCACACAGTTATTAGTGCTTGACTTTGTGAACAGTGCAATGTACATATGGACAGCACATTTAGGCAATATCTGCTTTTTAATTAGTAACTTTCATTTCTTGAAGTGTACTGTAAGACGAGCAGAATTTCAAAGGTAGAAAAGCTGTGGATCTGAAAGGACAGCAAGACAAATCTTTTCTTAATCAGTCTGAATTTTAAGTCTCCTCAATCCATCATAAAGGTAAGGCTATTTTTAAACATGCTTGTTTCACTCAGTGTTTCTTGCTCATCAGTAGTAAAGTAGTTCTATGTAAACCCTTCTCCACTGGTAAACCTCACTAATGGTATAGACAAGGGAAATGAAGGTAGTTTCTAGGCCATCACAAGGCAAAAAAACAACCAAACCAACGCACATTAAAAATCTCCCTTTTCTCCATACTGTCCTTCAATTAATTGCATGCTAATACATTTTAGTCTTAGTTTGCAGGTGTTGCCTATTGCCAGCAGAGTACTGTGACATGAGATGGGCTTAGCCAGCATGTGCCTAAGTGACATACATTTAAGGTATAATCTTCCTTTTTCTTGCGTTGGATTTACCAGAAGTCAAGGGGCCTTTCAGTTTTCTAAGCGGTCATTGTCAAAAAGGGCAAGGCCTCCTCGGCATACGGCCAAAAAAAAGTGGATAGTGCTAAGAGTAAAGGGAAAGTAAAACAAGTCTCTGTAGACACAAAGCAATCTGCTGCCCAATTCAGAGAAGCAAAACATAATGTTGTTACTCAAGCTATGGCTGTAATGATCCCATTCACTCCAGTTCTATCGGCATAATTCCTTGCTGAAATAATCCCAAGAGAAGCCCTGGTTATACACTGCAATACCTTTGCTTTTAGTAGCTCATTGTCTTACTTGGCAAGATGTTTGATAGCCCACCTAGACTGGCTTTATAACTACAAGTTTATTTGGCTTAGGAGATGAAAATTTTAAATTGTTCTTAAAATATTGCACTTAGAAGATACAGAGACTTCTACTACAAAGTTGTGGTCATAGTATTAGCTTTTAAAATAATAGACAAAAAGTAGATTAGCAGCATAAATACATAATTTACATCCTTCCCCCTCCCCACCCTGACCTCCATAGTCATCTGTGAGTCCTGAGTTCACTACTCCCCAAAATTAATATAATTCACTGGTTTTGCACCAACGCAGCACATATTTTCATTTCACAAAACTTCCATTTGTGTAAATTTGAATCTGTTGTTTCAGGAAACTCTCGAATTCCTCAGCTTACCAGGGAATGGTACCAGCAGTACAGTCCTGCCTCATGGTTCAGTGAATGGCAGCACGAAGTCAGGTCCAGGAGAGGCTTTCCTGGCTCCCTGCCAAATACATGTGCTTTCTTTGTCCCTTCTCCCCCAAAAGCTGCCAAGTATTAGCTTATGATGCAGGATCATAATATTTAAGGCATTATAACAGACATAACAAAAGGAACTAATTTCAATTCATGTATTTCCATAATGAGGTGAAAAGAAAACAGTTCACTGGATTAGGAAAAAAAGTTTACATGAAAGCTGTTGATTAAGAGCAAATTAAAACACAATTCCCTTAAAAATTGTTACTAATGAGAAGTGAGGCACCTTAAGTTCACAGCTGCTAGAGAAGCAGACCTTTTCCACCACCACCTTTAACAAGGTCCACTTTAGAGCTGTTGGTCTCTGAATTTTGTCCCTTTTCAGTCCTTCTTCGCTCGACCTTTGAAGCTATCCATGATACGGAAGTTTCCAAAATATTCCGCGAAGAGAATACCTGCTTTCACTGGTAGTACACTGTAAGGTAAAAAACCAAGCCAGACATCAGAAGAGTTGTGCAGTTTTATCATAGAATTAATTTTACCTGGCTAGTACTGGCAAAGACAGTATGCTATCTAGAATACAGTACCACAGTCCTCTCAAAATATCCCCTACACTCATTTGGCAGCCTGAGTTATTAGACAGATTAATTTTCCAACCCGGCTTGCAACAGTCAGAAGTGCCCTAATGCTGGAGAGCAAGACACCAGATATGCAGTGACTGAGAAGCAGCCCCAGCCTCTACAGCCCACAGTAAAACTGCACCCCAATGCACTCTGCAAGTCACAGTTAGACATTTCTGTCATTGTGCTGTGGTCCCAGGGTAGACTGAACCCCTAGAACCAAAAAATCCTCCAGAAATGTGCAGAACTTAATGAAAATTCACACCAACAAGCAGAAGCCTGGTTCGCACTTTTAGTCAAACGTATAGCTGAAACATCCCTGGACAGAAAAGAGAGGGAGGAAAAGAAGGAAAGGCATAACTTACCTTTTCAAAGCAATCAAAAAATAAAGACTGCGTGGTAGCTGCAATATTTCTTGGTCCTGCCGAATAGCAGTGATTATCTTCTCGGCCACATACTCTGGCTCCAGAGTAGGAAGGAGTCTTGGCCACCTGGAAGAGAAGACATTTCTTACTATAATACAAATTGCTTCGGATTCACGTTTTCCTCAAAGTCAGTCTCCATTTTCCAGTTACTCAACTAAAAGAAAAATAAATACCACAAATCCTAAGAACAACAGAACCTTCATTATGTTAAAGAGTGAATGGCCATTGTTACTCTCCCTTTGTATGATCTCTTCTAAGACAAATCCATATAGTCCTCATATTAAGACACACTAAGCTTTTATTTGGCTCCTAAATTTTGTCATTTTACAAACATACTGAGCAAAGCTATGCCACTGATTTCAGGAGGTGAATGAGGCTTTAAAAAACAGAGAGAACAACTGGAGCATTTGGCTTCTGCAGAGGAAAGGTCACCAATTACGCTTCAGCTTAAATTTAAACAGTAAAGTATCAAGGGCTTTGCCATGTGGGTTGCCCAGCTGCTGGATAGCACTGCTAACACCCATCTGAGGCCCTAAAAATAACACAGAGAAAAGCCTAGCTCATGATTTTCATAAAGGAAATAGGAGTATGTAACATGCTAAATGTGCAAGTTGCATGAAAACCTCACAAGAGTTTGCTCACCTGGTCCTACAGCCATCAAACATTCCTGTGTTTATGATATAAGGACACACAATTGTGGTTTTAACACCGGTCTTTCGCAGATCTCTCATCTCTAAATCAACTGACTCCGCAAAACCAACTGCTGCAAATTTACTTGCACAGTAATCTGTAAAATAAATAAAATATTAATTGCAGGTAAACATTTTAATTTACTAATGAAGTTTTACTAAACAGGTTCAGCGAGTCCTACCACTGGACACGTACACAGGAGCGGTAACAGTTTCTGACAGAGAACAGGGACAAAACTATGCTCTAGTAAGTAAACTAACTAGCCACGAGGTTTTTTTTTGTTTTGTTACAGTATACAACAGCAGCACTATGGTATAGAAATGATATATTCATAGTACCTGCAGGAAATTACTGTCCTATAATAAAATACTTCACAGCAGAGTAAGAACTGTTTCCAGGATTAGGATACTAATAAAACTTGCCTTTGATGTGGTTCACTCCTTTACTTTCCCTCTCCCAAGTTAACTGTTGTTCTAGACTGGCACAGTGTTTCTCATCACATCCCTGCTCTTACCTTTCCACTCTCTACTGAACAACAGCAAATGAAGTGACCTTTTCATACCAGACCTTATCTTTGAATCCATGCAGTAGCTTCTTATGCATCATACTGCAGCTTTCAAGATTCTCTAATGTGGTTTCAACTTGAAACTCAATTGTCTTCATTATCACTGCTTTGAAAGTAGATTTCTTTTACTGCTATGTCACCTTATTTCATTTTCCTGCCCCTTTGCATACGTTTTCCAGAAATACCTTCTGAGTTTGCCCTAATCTCAACACCTCCTTTCCATCACTGTATAGGTCCCCTTGAATGAATGGCTGAGAGACAGAGAATGTAAAATGAGATATTGCACCTTTGCCTCTCTACCACATCTAGATTTTTGTAGTTCTTAGAGTTAGGAAAACCTGACAGGACTCTGCTTAGCCTGAGAACATGCTTGTAGCGGTTAAAAAAAAAGCACAACTTCCCCATCAAATACTTGCAGGTTAACTTTAACAACACTGAAGTGCTCAGTTTCCGAAGTTCCATATGGCTCCTAGACATTTTAACTGCCTTGGCAGAAAAACCTGTTTCACAGCACCGCTGAGCATCTCGAAAACTCTTTTGAAAGGAATAGTCTATTTAAGGTCAGCTAGTTTGAAAGTACAACCATTTGCTTTACATATATGCAAAGACACAGAAACTCAAAATTAGGATTTTTTTTCCATGAATAATTGATTGCAGAATTTAAATCAAACTAATTGTCTAAATGAACATTAGCTTTAATACACTACCTGAAAGACCATTGACTCCAATCAGTCCTGCTGAGCTTGCAATACTAACCAAGTGTCCATGGTTAGAGGCGATCATTGCTGGGAGGAAGGCTTTGTAAGTCTGCAATGTAAATTACAGTTGCAATGAAACATTCTACTAAATAAGCTATGTGCTATAATATTTCAAAGGTGGTGTTTCTAAAGAAATTTAGAGTTTAAATAAGCTTCCCCCAATTCCATTACGGAAGGGGACGGGAAAAGGAGTTTGTTGTTTGAACTCTAAGCTTCAACTACTAAGCTGAGACTTTCCAGGCCCCATCAGAACAACTTTCTCCTCAACACAGACAGCTGGTAACTTGCTGAAAGCTAAAGATATAGCTTCAGCTAGTTGTTAAGTTTCTTTCAGCCTAAAGCTGAGCACTGCAATGTTTCAAATGAGAATTAAGTGTTCACCGCAAATTTTGTAAAACAGCAAATTTTGTGAAATGGCAAAAATTTTAATTTCATGTCTTCCTTCTATTAAATTAATCTTTGTGCTTAAATTTATTTATGAAGAAACTGAAGCATGTTTTAATATCCCCTTTGCAATTCTTTATGATAGGAACATCATGTAGATGACCCGCCTTCCCTGGAAGGAAGAAAAAGCACATTAAGTTACTCATTTTGGACAAAAGCCCCGCTTATTATTAAAAGCATTGTCTGAACATGTGGTATTTCTTACTGAAACTATCATAACCACAAAGCAACTAGAACACTTACAGAACTGAACGCTTCTGTTACTAGAGCAGCAACTTTTAGGCTGGGCCTGCTTCATGTCAATTAATATTGAGGGATTATAACATATGGCTAGCTTCAGAATTTAGCAGATGGTAAACTTCAGTTTTTAAGAGCATTTCTAAACGCGAAGCGGTTCTGCTTCCACCTACTACCCCAGAAGTTACCAAAGGATCCATTTTTCCATGCTTTTTTTTAATGTTACAGACTCCCAGGCACAGAAAGTAATTTCTTGTACCATTTCTGCTTGAACTTACAAGGAGCTATATATCCTTGCATATTTTCCTCAATTCCAAAATGCAAAATTAACACTGAAAACATATTAAAGGATGTTTTAGTACATATATAGGAAGTACAGGTATTACCCAGAAGTGTGCCATTATGTTCACTTCCATGGTTTTTTCCACAAGTGAATCTGGAGAATCAATAAATGTCTTCCCAGTTACAATGCCAGCGTTGTTGACTAGGATGCTAACATCACCAACTTCTTTTTTAACCTAAAACAAAAAGCCTCAAGATATTATGCAATGAATACAAAATATGCCTTCCAAGTTTGATATATGAAAACGTAAGAAATAGAAATATTGCACATTTCAATTAAGTTGAACTTACTATACTCGTTATAGATCCAAACATGTCAGGTTCTTGCACATTTTCCCCTGATGCCTGTTTAGAGCTGAGCTTTCTTTGGAGGCGTGGAGCCCAACAGCTCCACAGAGGCTTCTGCTTTAAGCACCTCTGGTTCTTGCTGCGACTGTTCCAGATAAGTCTGTATTACAGACAGCTTAACTAATGCAACGAGTGTTTTGCTACAGTAAAGTCGTCTTAAAACCAATGAGCAATTCTGTTCGTTGGGCCATTTCTATGCCATGTGGTGAAGCCCAGTACGAGCTCAGGCGAGTTCACCAGAACCAAGAACATTAAATCTACGTCAGGGCTGCAATATCTAAACTTTCACTTGTGAGGCTCCGTGCATTATACTCAAATCCTCTTGTGTTTTCCACAGAGGGACTTGAGCACAGAAGCAGTGCTGCCATATGACCTGAATGCTGAAGCCAGCTTGCACAGTACTTGAGTCTTTTGATGAGCAGAAGGAAAACTGGATTCCCTGTTGGTAGTGTTAATTGCCTGCATCCCAACAGTCCAGGGATTCATCTCTCCCACTGCACAGAGAAGCAGGTACTTAGTAGCATCTTAGTATTTCAAAATTCTTCATGCTGATTTCCACGTGCTCCACTTCTCCTGACTGCGATTGTTAAACACTGACATGTATTACACAGTAGTTTGTCCACTAGTGGTTACTCTACTTGTGTTCCACAGGACACACATTAAACCAGACTTCCCTACAGCTTTCTGGGGGAGCAGATAGAGTTTTCTGCCCTCAGTGTGGTGGAATTAGAATGGGCAAATGGTCACTTTTGAGAAGAAGTATTCCTTACATGCACAGGCAGCGAGAACGACCATTTGTAAAAAGGTTGTAAGAAGGAAATTAATTTTATTTATTCAAGTATCTTGACTACTTCAAGCAATGTTACAGGTCAGGAACTTAAGAGCTTATCTTATCAAACAAGAAGGTTTTTTTTACAAGTTTATTTCTCATGAAGACAGCCTGAAAGAACACCATGTCTCCACTGATATTAGCTCTCAGGACAACACAAGAAATGAGAGAACTGTAGGAAGGGTAGTAGTTCGTTATGAAAATCAAACAAAAGCTGTAGGGTTCTGAATAAAAGAAGATTTTAGGACACATGCATTCACAGAAAGCAAAAGCCTTATGAGCTTCTGGGGCTCACGGTGCAGAAGCTTGTTTCCAGTGTATCTGCTTCAATTCTAACACTGTCCCAGGATCCTTATAAGATGGCTCCCAGAAAATAAGTTGGCTAAAGAATAGTATCTACACATTTAGTTCAGTAAGAAGTATAGTTCTCATTTTAGCTCCAGACTGAGAACTTTCATGAACAGACACACTTGAAATAACTAGGCATTGTGCCAGCTCTCAAAAGGAGAATGAAAATATCTAATGCAGTATTTGATGTACAGTTCATTAATCTGAGCTACCTGAGAAAAAGGAAATGAGGACTCTATATGTTGTTTAATTTGTGATTTCCAGATCAAGTGCTAAACATGTGCTGATCAGTAGCTTTGGGAAGCCATGTTGTTTTTATGCCATGTTGCCATACAGTTGCAGACCACAGAAATTAATTTCTTAATGGCATTTCCTGCAATAGGTACCTACAGTAACTGAAGAGAGCACAATCAGACCAGGTGAATTAAAAGGATAATTTACCACCTATCCTTTATTCTATCTTAACTTCCTGATCTTCCTTAAACTTGTTCCAGTCTTGTCTGTGTTTGTTAACTAAGGGTTTAAAAACCAGAAAGCAGCCTTGGTATGGTTACACAGAACAGCTTTTATAGTAGATCCATCAGCCAGAGCCCCTCTCCAGCTCAGTCATTGCTCACACATTCTTGCCTGTCTATTCCTCTCTCAAAAAGTTGTCATGTAACAATTTAAATATTTCTGAAGCAGTGCCACATGATCTCCACAGGCAACCTCAGATAAGACACCAACCTGAGCATGTACCATGCATCACAAGTTAAAAATAGTACGCATTCAGAGACATAAATGTAATCATTAGTAAATGATGCTTTAATACTGCCTTGTGTCAGATGATCTAGCAATTCTGGAAGCCTGGACCAGTACCCCAAATCTACCCTTTGGGACAAATAACAAAAACCTGAGTAAGTGGTCATGCTTCTTTTATGCGAACAAAAGATGGACAGAGGCAGGGGATGTGGTACATACTGTTTATAGTGGTATACATACCATTTATAACTGGGCGATTGCAGCATTCAGGTTAGGTGGGAGAAGAGAAATAAGAACAGAACTTTGATCATCCCATTTCTAACTAGTGGCGAACACCTGAACAACCTCTTCCTTTACCACCTGTCTCTACTCAGTCTTCCATATATATATTGACACTTTGGATGGAATTCAAAGCGGATTCAAGTGCCTTCTTACAACCCAGACAAATACTTCCAGCTTTACACTACCTCCGTTCATGCTGCTTCCCTACTAACCAGATGTGGCAGCTCTTTCCTCAGCAAATTGGCTGGTTTAGTTCCCTTCTCCTCTCAGCTCTGCTCTGTGCATGGCAGGGCCAAGACACTTCAGCCCCAGCTTCCACACTCTGCTCTGAGGCCAAGTACAGAAGACCTTTACCCAGTCTGTCCCCTAGCTATCAAGGGGAGTGGGGGGATAATGTCAATTTTCCAGAGCTCTAAGCTTCTCCATTTGTGCAGTGCAGGAAAGTATGCTCCAGGTGTTTGGTTTAGGCCTAGGTAAGGCAAGCATTATGCAAACAGCTGATCTGGTTAAGCATCTTTTAGGTATAAACACTATTTCCTATTTGTTTCTGCATTTATAGTTACGCTTTGATATTGAAGTTTAGTACTGAGCAATTCCCACAATTCCCAAACAGCATCCCAAAGCGTCTACTTTCCAAGAACCACAAAACGCTCCATAACTACCTACAAGAAGTGGAAGAAAGCACTGGATGTTTTCTAGACAACATGAAATACCACCACGAAACGTGCTTCTACTGCTACTCCTCTGCACAGGAAAGAGGATTCCGCAACCTGTCATCTTGACTAACAAGCAAGAAAAGACAGTGGATAAGCAAAAATGTACCACGCAAGAGAGATCCTGGAAGTCAGCGTGAGCCCAGATGCAATTCTGCAACATGATTATGAGGAAAAGGCTTCTGTTTCCTCACAAATAGGAGGATCAAAAACCATAGAGTGAATTCCCTCTTTCAAACCCCTCAATTCTTAAAGTTTAGCTGAACTCGAAGGAGGGAGGGGTAGGCCAGAGAAGCCACATTCCCTTTGGGGTTGGGTACTTCTGCAACAGGGACATTAGAAATAAATTTTAAGCTATAGCTGTGGATAGCCAAAAGCTGTCCTTCATCCTATTGGTACAGGAAAGGAACAAGGACATCACATGCGCAGGGCTTTTTGGTTTTCTTCCTACTGAAGTGACTTTTCCCTGGTCTCTCCGTGTGGCTGATGAAGTACCCAGAAGCAGGTATTTAAGGTCTGCATACATTTCATTTTGGCTTTGAGGTTGTTTTACTGGGCACCAAGTTTTCAACCATATCCTGCCCTGCCTGCATGAATTTAGTTCGCTATAGTTTTCCAAAACTCCAAGTCATTGCATGAAGCTGAATCACCAGGAGGGAAAACCCAAAACCTGGAACTGTGCTGCTTCATCTTACAAAGGCTGATGCTGAACACTGTAAGCCAAAGTCTACTACACCACATTAAGTAAACAGTGACACCAAGCACTAACTAATACTAAAGTCTTTTTGTCACTAATAAGATGGGAAGTTGTCAGCAGTACGTGATGTTTCTGAAATAACACTAATAGGGTATTTTCTTCTATGTGCATCAGCAGGAGGATTGTCAGTGAATCAGTTGTTAGACAACTGCTGACAGATTATAAGCAAGGAATCACTCACCGAGACCTCTCACCGCTTCTTTGCTCCTGTCTACCTCTGTTTTTATCATCCCTAACCTGTGTCACACATATATCCACACCCTCTTCTCCTTTTAATATTTGACCAGAAAGCTCTGCTAGTGCTTTTCTACATGGGACTGAAGTGCAAGCCCTCGAGTCCTCAAAACTGAAGGTTAACTTCCATCTTCTTCATTCCAGTGTCCTTCACACTACAATACTCCCTCCTCCTCCACTCCTCCTTACAGGCCTGCAGTGAGACACGTGCAACTGCTCTGTGGGGACAGCAGATGTGCAAATCCACTGGCATAACAGAGCTGCAAGGGGGACCAAGGGTGATCAGCATTACCAGAATAAACAAAAAACACCACCCCAATATAGCATCAGCATCTAACAAGCTGCAAATCATGCACAAGCTTCGCTTATCGGAAAGTTTTAGTCGTTTCTGCACAGATAGAAAAATGCAGAAGGCTAGAGCTTCTTAAACAGCACCAAAAGAAGAACATTATTTCAGCCAACAGATGTTCCTGAAGACAGCTGAAATTTTTTTTTTTAAGAATTCATCCTCAGGCAAACACTCACTGTGGAAACTTTCTAGTCCAAGAGTTAAGTTTAGCAACGTTTTAAGCAAATGAGAACAGGTTGTTATAATGGAAACTGTTAAGCAATTTTAGCTTTTGGCAATTCTAATAGTCCACCCAAAACATCTAAGCACATGCTATATTTACAAAGCTCTTCAGAAAGGAAAGTAAGAAATATTTAAGACTTTAAGGTACATTTATTAATTCTGATAAAGTGAGTCTGCACAAAACCTATTCACAGCCATGGAATTATTTGAAAATTGCCTAAGCAGTTAATCCTTTTTACAGTGTATGGTCTTCAGGGTTTACTTTTACCAAAAGGCTGCCAGCACTTGGAATACTGCTTTAGTTTCAATAAATTGATTTTCTGTACTTCACCAGTAAGTGCTTGCTTAGTAATTGAATGAATGAGAAGCTACCCAGTTGAAATGAGCTACTGAAAAAGAAAAGCAGCTCTTTTTGTTTTTAAAGAAACAGAGGTACACAAGTCAACTCTAAAAAGAGTATTCTTGAAACAGGCAGCATGCACAATACATTCTGAATAAATTAACTTTAATCTCTTGCTTTGACGTCACTAAAACTTATCATGCATCATACACACGTGAATGGACTCATCTTAGAATAGTGTCAAAGCCACAAATAAGATATTTTACCTGATCAGCTACTCTGTAGACGTCCTGCCTTTTGCTACAGTCACAGATGTAGCAGTGTACTCTCGCTGCTCCATTTTCTCTGGCCAGTCTACTTGTCTCCTTGAGCCCCTCTTGATTAATGTCCCAGAGAACCACTGTGGCTCCAAGGCTGGCAAACTTTAAGGATAAGAGTCTTCCAATGCCACTTCCCGCTCCTGTTATTAATACTATTTCACCACTGACATTCTTCTTCCTTCTAGGCACAACCAGGAACACTAGCGACTCCAGCAAATAATAAACAAGAAGTCCGATGACTTTGAATGTTTCCAGGAAGAAGTTCATCTTGATGTTATTTCTTCAGATACCTGATAAAAGAAAATGTTTACCAGATAGAATAAACCATAAAGAGAGAAAAAATAAACATCAACATTTCAAAATTGAAAAGTGTTTTCAGGTCCATTCTAAATATTTTATCTAGCATGCTTCTGAGTGTTGTTAAAAAAAGAAACATAGGCTTACATCTGCACACGTGACCCATTTGTCCTGTTTCTGTTTCGTCTCCAAGTTGCTCCTACTCTCCTCCCGAAGGCAGCACACAACTGATTTACCATTTGGCAGAGGCAGGAAACACCGGCCCTCATCTGCTTCAGAAATTCCCCACCCCTCATGTCATGGGTTTCCACCTCTGCTCTGACACAATGTGGACTCAAAAACTAGAATCAAAAAGAGCGATAGCTGCCCCTTGAGCATCTTAAGCAGAAAGGCAGGGCAATTACAAATCAAAACTTATGGCCTGATCAAACAACTTCAGTGCTCACAAGCTAGTACTTTAGGTCAGGAAAAATCCTCATTTCAGGACCACAACTTTTTGCTTTGTAGGCACTCCATCAAGAAGTCATACGCAGACCAAGTCACGGTCTCAACCCTGCTGAAAAACTGTCAGCCTAGGGAGCTTCAGAATATAATACGCTTATAAATCTCCAAAACACTCCAGGTAAATTACTGGCTGTCACTACTAGCTTTCCAACTACCAGTACTACCACTGTTGAGGAATGCTTGCTTTTGCAACTAAACAGTGTTTTGTTTAGGAATGCATTGCAAAGCTGTTGACTTTCTTCACCTCCCTGCATTAAGCAAATGCCATGGGGTTGAATCATACCATCTCAGGTACGATTGTAATTTCACAGTTTGTACTCATCACAGTAATGCCGACACCAAGCAGGCATTTAAGTTCTTGAAAGAATGCTCTTTATTTCCCACCATCCAAATGCTATGCAAAAAAATACACCCTTGGTCAGAGCAGGTTTTAATCTTCAACTAACTACAGTATGAAGGATTAATATCTTCCTTCTCAGCTAAAGGTAGAGCACGCTGGCACTTACACTTCAACCTTTAGCACTACATGCCCAGCTTGATCGCATCTCTTCGCTAACGTTGCTATCTATGCGTATAGGTAATCATGTTTGACAAGGGCCAAGAGATAAGTTACTTAGATCTCTGCTACTCTGAGCAAAGTTCAGAAATTTAGCATGTGGACATGCACACGTTATCAGGAGTCTCAGGTTTAGTACATGGGAAACATGGCCACTCCTGAAAAGGGAGAGGCCACCGCTAGAACACAGCAAGCTATTTCAGAAAGTCTTCTGGCAGAAACATTATGACATCTTAAAACTATTCCAATAACTGAAAAACACTTGTCAAAAACATAGCGGGTAGGGAAACAAGGTCTTCTTTCTGCAGAGGAGTCTTAGGGTGAATGTCTTCTGTTCTTGTTCCCTTTAAAATGGGACAAAGTGTGTGCAGAGGTTCTGACACAAGTGAAAGGCAGTAACACCAGTAAGAAACGGAAGAAATGTCAAAACAGCACAGGAACATTTTTCTGGAGCCAACATTGACATCTCCCATAGTAGGCTCTCGTAGCTCTAGAGCTACTGCAGATATAAGCAAAACCAGAGTTATACAGGAAAAGTGTTATTAAATTTCACAAACGTTAAACAAATCAGCAAGTTTTTGGAAACACAAGTTCTTTGCTGGGTCCAAAACTGAAGCAACAAAATCTTTAAAATAAATGCGGTTGCTGACTTTAACTTGATTACACTAACTTAATGCACTTAAAGTAACATCCTCCATTTGCACGAAAGGACATTGGTATCTCTGGAGTAGGTAAGGATGTTAGAGTTAATCCCTATGAAAAACAAGACAGGCAGTTGCCTTCAAAGTATAACACCCAGTTTCGAACTTACGTCAGTAATTTATTAAGTAAAATAATCATGCATTAGGTTTGCACAGGGCAGAAGCACTGTCTTAGAGAAGTACTGATTTTCTCTTAAAGAAGTGGAGTTGTTTTAGGTGTGCAGACCACAGGAGATTTTCTGTTAGAATACCAACTCCACGTCCTTCAGCAAGACCCTTAATTTCCACCGACACGTCTCTCGCCTAACTCAGCTTTGGCTGGGCCGAGAGCCCTCCATTCTCACCGGCTCACCGCATTAGTACTGCTAATTACACCAGCTACCGTAAACGAACGTATCCATACGGACAAGTAAATTAGCCAACACTCTCAGCTGATTTTGGCTCCTCAGCTAAAGCAAGGAAGGATCTATTCACAGGTGAGTTATCCAAGGGTACCTTTGGCACACACCAGATCTCAGACATCTTCTGATGCCACATATTGTTTTTTAATACGCCTACATCCACACAGACATAAGCATGGAAGGCTTTTATATTGTAGTGAAGTATTAAAGGTTTTACGACGGCTTATCAGACAAATTTCTTTTCCAAGCGCAGACAACTCTGCCAGCACAGCCGTTGTGGTACGTGTGCCAATGCCGACAGCCCAGCGGCTCTTGCAGGCTGTCAGTGCTTGCAAACCACAAGGACGGCACCGAGCCTGGCAGCCAAACTACAAAACACCCCTGGTAGCCAAAACGATTAAAGGTTGATCACGCAATCACCTGAGCAAGGTTTGGCAAGCATGAATTTTCTCCCTGCATCTGGAGGGGTTGTGACCCCCCCAAAAACATGGTGGCCCTGTAGCCAAGACAGTCCAAGGACTGAAGTGTAGCAACACCCTCCTCACCCCCTGGAAGACGCTGGACAACCTTACTCTCACTTGGCACACCTCATCTGACCCAATTAGCACCACAAAAACCCCCACAACCCACAGGCAGTCTTCGGCTGCGGTAACCAGCTCACCGCC